ACCTCAGTTTATTTGCAAAATAGACTCTCAACTGAAGCACTTGACAACAAGACTCCTTTTGAAGCTTGGTTTGGGATAAAACCAAAAATTGATCATCTTAGAGTGTTTGGTTGTATCTATTACACTCTAGTTCCAAGTGCAAAAAGAAGTAAGCTGGATGAGAGGTCTAAAGTTGGCATCTTTATTGGTTATAGCAGCCAGTCAAAAGGATATAGGGTGCTGAATTTAAAAACTCAAGAAATTGAGACAAGCAGAGATGTCAAATTTGATGAAGAGTCAGCTTGGGATTGGAAAAATTCTCAGGTTATTGCAGCAAGTCAATTGCAAGAGCAGATTCATGATGAAGCACCAAATCTTGTTGAGTTTGAATATGATGAGGAAAATGATCAAATTGATGATGTGCCTGTCAGGGGTACTAGAACACTTGAAGATGTTTATAACAGATGCAATGTGGCCATTACAAAACCCTCATGTTTGTAGGACGCAATGAATTCAGAAGAATGGAAGACTGCAATGCAGGAGGAGTTGAACATGTTTGAGAAAAATGCAACATGGAAGTTGGTTGATAGGCCTACCAATAAGAATGTTATAGGGGTCAAATGGGTGTATAAAGTGAAGTTAAACTCAGATGGCTCCTTGAATAAGTGCAAGGCAAGATTGGTAGTCAAGGGATACTCACAACTTGCTGGTATTGACTTTACAAAAACATTTGCTTCTGTTGCTAGGTTTGATACAATCAGATTGTTGTTTGCAATAGCTGCTAAGAAAAGTTGGCTTATTTACCAACTGGATGTGAAGTCAACTTTCCTAAATGGAAAGTTGAAAAAGGAGATATATGTTGAGCAACCTGATGGGTATGTGAAAAAAGGAGCAGAACATAAAGTTTATTTGCTGAAAAAGGCTTTATATGGCCTGAAGCAGGCCCCGAGAGCATGGTATGGCAAAATAGATAACCATTTGCTCAGCTTAGGGTTTGAGAAAAGCATTGAAGAGGCAACACTTTATGTAAAAGAGAAGGGAGCAGATTTGATCATTGTTTCTATTTATGTTGATGATTTGTTGGTCACTGGTAGTTGTGAAGCTATGGTGAGAAATTTTAAAGCTGATAAGATGAAGATGTTTGAGATGAATGACCTGGGAAAAATGTCATATTTCCTAGGAATAGAGGTGTAGCAATCTAGCCAAAGTGTATTTATCTGTCAAAGAAAATATGCCACGCAAATCTTGAACAAGTTTGCAATGTCAAACTGTAAAGCTGTCAGCACACCAATAGTTCCAGGAACAAAGTTCACAAGTGAAGATGGAGCCGCAAAGATTGAACCGGGTTTGTACAGAAGCATGATTGGGAGCTTGTTATACTTGTCAGCAACCAGACCAGATATCATGTATTCTGTTAGTGTTCTCTCAAGGTTCATGCAGTCACCAAGTGAAATTCACTTGAAAGGAGCCAAACGTGTTCTTAGATATGTGAAAGGAACTATTGACTTTGGGGTGTTGTATTCAAGATCAGACGAGATAAAGTTGCTTGGTTTACTGATAATGACTGGGCAGGGTCTGAAGATGACATGAAAAGCACCTCGGGTTGTTGTTTTTCCATTGGTTTAGGAATGATCAGTTGGTGCTCAAGAAAACAAGATGCAATAGCACAGTCAAATACTGAGTATGAGTATATTGCTGCTGCTGATGCAGCAAATCAGGCAATTTGGATGAGAAAAGTGATGCGTGACTTGAAGCATGCTCAAAAGGAACCCACTGTGATCCTTTGTGACAACAAATCCACAATTGCCATTGTGAAAAATCCTGTATTTCACCGAAGAACCAGACATATCAAGGTGAAGTATCACTCCATTAGAGAAGCTGAACATGATAATGAAATTCAATTAATTCACTGCAGTTCAGAGGAGCAGATAGCTGACATTTTTACAAAGGGGTTGCAAAAATC